AGTTGTTAGTGGTATTGGAAAAATTTACCGCTATCAATAAATATTGAAAAATATAATCTCTGTCAATATATTTACTGCTTCCGAAATGCCTACTATACTCAAGATTTAATGCACTACCCCCAACTCTGAATCATATAACATAGACTTCTCGTGCTCTTTGAATATTGCTTGATCGATTTTTTTTTTTCCAGAAAGTCTTAAAACGTGTCAGACGACATGTATAGAAACTAATTAAAAACGTAGTTGGATATTTCCAGATATTTCAGAAATTTGCACTCTGCCCTTTTCAGCTCACTGTGCGCCGGCCTATTTTTTTATAATTTTTTTTATTTTTTTAGTATTACCGTATTTTGTTGTAGTCAGGTAAAGACGTAAGCTCCGGCCACTCATTGAGTCTTGGACTACCCAATGTTCTTATTACAAGCGCCAGTTGTTCGATATCAGTCGAACCCTGAAATATAATATTTTCAATTCAACTTTTTTATGACTTCACATTTATATTTACGGAAAATAATGGAACTCCTCTCAGCATTTCTGCAAAAACACAGCCGGCAGCCCACATGTCCACAGCGGGACTATACTTTTGACTTCCCCAAAGTATTTCTGGTGCTCTATACCAACGCGTCGAAACTTGAGGTGAATATAACTTATTTTCTTCTTTTTGAAAATATAACCGCGCCAAACCGAAATCAGCAATTTTTAGAGATTCGTCTTCACTTATGAGTAGATTGGCCGGTTTTATATCCTGTGAATAACAACAGATGATTACGCATTTAATATTTAAACATTTAAATTCATTCGTTGCACACGAAATTTAAGATTTATAAACACACATACACATGTATATATGCATGAAATTATTAGGTTATTCAAATACTGCGTTTCTTTATACATTCCGGATAAACCCATTTCACAGCCGAAATAAACGGAATACGTTTGAAATATATGTACGTTAACATAACATCAGGAACGTTCTAAAGAAGAAGTAAACAAAAAAGTTTACTCCAAACGTTCAGAATTCATAATGGAATGCAGCCAAAGGTTTCTTGTAAAGTTATTTATACGGTGTTTACATGAGGCGATTTTGCAGACAATTTTAGAGGCGATTAGTTGAATGAAAAGCTGGCTGTCTCATTGGAAGCAACTAGTTAAAAAACCTTTCACACCAGGCCTTCAACTAAAAATTGCCTGTAAAATTGGCTCATGTGAACACCGTTTTAGTCTGTTCAAATAGATCACCAGTGAATGCAAAGTTAGCAAAAACTTGCAAGTTTAAGGTATAGCTGATAGGAATTTTGATTGCATGCAACAGAAAATATGAAAAGAAATATACATTAATGACCTTAAAGTATGTTCACATTATCGTGATTTACGGCTCATTTGTAATTTATAGGCAATTTATATTGCTGAAATCAAGTTATTTCGCTTTGTAAGATCCGCCAACAAATTAAATGGAAATGAGATAATTTATCATAAATCAAGAACAAAATTAAGAAAAAAAGATTTTTAATTTATTTTAGGCCCCACTGTCGAGGAAATTTGAAAAAATACCTAAAGTAGTGTTGTCTGACGTCCGGATATTCCAGGATTTGTCCTGATTTAAACAAACTGTCCTGGTGTTCTGGTCCACACCTAAATTGTCCTCGTTTTTTAATGAAATGAGGCACCCATATAATTTTTAGCAGATTTTTGCTTTGAAAAAAAGTTAAGCTTTCTGCCATAAGGAGTCGAAAATCGATAATGAAACATTTTTTCTAACATGTTGAACAATGGGCCGTATGAATAAAAATAAGCAATTGCTTTTTCTTAAAATTTCAAATCTTTTACTCAATTTATTCAAACAAAATTTAAGTAAAAGGTATGAAATTTCAAGAAAAAGCAATTGCTTAGTTTTTATTCATACGGCCCAATATCTGGTGAGAAAGAAGGTAAATTTTTGTTTACTTTATTTGGTTAAAATCTAATTTTGTATCTTCCGGCAAATGCCAAAAAAAGTGCTAGTTCCTGAACAGGTACACGGCTGAGGGGTCACACATACTACACAGCAGATAATTTCAAGAGTTAAAATCTCTTCCAAAAGGCCTTTCTGAAAGTCATTCCTTTCTTCTTCGCGCTACTCTAGGATGTCAACAAAATGACGAAAATTATCTCCCATTTTCTTTCGTTTTGACATCTTAATGTACCAAAAAGCAAAAACAAAAAAAATACACGGGATAATTACATATCGGCTGATCAGTTTCATTTTCTCCAAACCGGTTCACTTTCACGTTTGGTTTCAATGTATTTAATATTGGCGGAATACGAATTTTCGGTTGAAATTTTTTTCTGGCAAAACTCAGGATTAGGCAGAATATAAAAATATGACTTTTTTCGCTTATGTTCTTTTTGAGTTATTTTCTCTTTCGGTATAATATGGGCGTAAATGCCTCGTAAGCGCGTAAACTTTGTACATAAACTGGTTTCCCATACAAATTAAATTTAAGAGGTTTACGTGGTTACGAGGCATTTACGCGTTTAGACGAATTGCCTTATTGAGTTCGTGGTAAGAAATAAACAGGGAGGTTTTTCAAATTGATTGTGTACAGCTTTTAACATTTATTTTCTACAGCGTATTGAGCTTAAACTTTCAACAACACAATACGAGGTTGTCCTGTAAAATATTCTGAATACGTAATACTGAAAAGATGAAATTTTACTATCCAAACTTCAGACTAACTCAAATGACATAAGTTTTGCGAAATCTAAGGCAAAATATTTCAGATTTAAAGTTTAAAAAACGAATGTTTCACCTTTTTTGAACTCCCATTAGATAATAACAGATGAGGACACAATGAATTTAAGATATTTCTTTAATAAGGTATAACCTTTTAAAAATGTTGGAATTGTTCAGTCTTAAGTATTCTCTTTATCAACAATTTTTTTCTAAAAATTTTGGATCTAATGAAAAATCAATATGACAACCCCTCACAAAGTGCCCACACCTGGTACATATTTGTATATATGTACATACATATGTACTTCACATCACTTACCCTATGCATTATGCCTATGCTATGCAGATATTCGATCCCCTTAAGCATCATTTGTGTATATTGCCGAATTTGCTGTCTATTTAGAGGATTTACTTCGTTCCTCAATTTTCCGTATAAAGTTTCCGGCATATATTCTAATACCAAGGCTAGTCCGGTTAAGTCTGGATATATATCAATGATCGATACTATCTGATGTAAAAAGTGTATACGAATAATCGTTACGTTATCGGGTAATGCTAGAGCAATATTTTTCACTTACATATTTGGACTGGCACAACTGCAAAGTTTTAATTTCCCGTAAAGTGTTCAGTGAAATGTTTCCGAATTTATTTTTCAAAGCAATTTTCTTAATAGCTACATGCTTTTGCCGTTGCAGATCGATCGCTTTGAATACATATCCATGCACTCCTTCTCCAATCTTTTCCAGCATTTTATATCGACTTGGGGCGTAGTCTTCCATTCTAGCAGACACGTCGAAAAATAGCCAATACGACTAAATCTATAGGTACAGCCGTTTGTTGTTCAATAATTTTTCACGAAATGTTTTGCTGCCATGACAATATTTTAACGGTTGACATTTGTACATATATATGTATGTTTGTGTGGGCATAGGAATGGACTATATCGTTGTTAAAATGAATAGTTTGAGATGGCAAATATGTATGTAGGTAGTAAGGATAGCTGCAACGAACTCATTAGATTACACTGTAGGTTAGCTAATATTACGTTCAAATTGGCCCTATTTAACTTGTTAAATGAAAGAGCTTTTCGTAAGCCACAATCGTTCACGGTGAATATTTGGATTTAATTTTTACTGTTAATTGATTTAAAAAAAAAAAAATAAAAATAAAAAAATCAAGTCTCTGTGTTTCAATTTGTTTTGTGCGTATGTCTGCTTCATGATATTACCACATACGGTTTACTTAGACACCCTAAAATCTTTAGTTCGTATGCAATAAGTAAATAATTATGTAGTTGTCTCTGCGTACCATTCATTTTAAATATTTTTGGGAAATAAATTTTTTGAACATTGGCGTGTTAAATGACGCTTTTGCCTCTTTATCTGAAGCTCCATAGCGGGTTTTTCAGGCTGCGGCTTTCGAAGTCGATCAGGCTTTTAAGGCGAGCAACTCCACATTTCGCAGTAGGAAGGAATAAGTTTTCCGACAAATAAGATCTTAGACTAAAAAATGCTAGTTCGTTAAAATTGATACTTCCTTTGCCATTTTGGTTTATTCAGTACTTTTGTTCACCTCTTTCATTTTTTTTTGTGTAAATTCGCCTCAAGCCACAATGCCTGGAAAAAACTGCTATGGAGCTTCAACTTTTCTGATTAGCTGAAGCAGAAAGATTTCTGATACAACTCTGCGTTAAAGTGGTTTTCAAACGAGTTAAGGGCCGTTTGCTTAAAGCTAACTGAAGGATGTACCTTCACATCAAACATCAGAACATCAAATGCTTTATCGATCACGTGCTGTGTATCGATAACGTCGATAACGATATTTAACTGGGAGTTAGAATTAACCAGACATGGTGCAAACGGCCCTTAACTCGCAGTATATGTACATATGTAGATATTCTTCCAAAATCCACAATAAAATCTAAATTTTTGAACTTTGGGCTTAAATTTGCCACGCCTATTTCTAGAAGATTCTTTGATTGAAAAACCCGCAATAAAATCTGCGTTTTGCTAACTTTAGGCCTACAATTTCCACGCCCATTTCTAGGGGTTTGTCGCCTTAAAGAAAAATTCTAACGTACAAATGTTATTTCTGGATAGGCATTCTTTCGAAATCCACAATAAAATTAAAATTTTTGCAAAAACCCGATCGTCATAAAAAAAAGATATTTTAACAATAGTTATCGAAAAACGGCAATTTTTTGAAGCATGGATTTTATATCGAATTAAACAAGGATTACGATAGTGTAATTTTAAATCCCTTATTTACGCAAATTATCCTCAAAAAGTTCAACTGATAATAGCTAAGTTAGCTTTAGGACAATTATGACCATCTTATATTTAGAAATGTTGAGCCCGTTTCTTTAGCTTTAAAACGATGTTAAGATAAAGTTTCTACGATGAGCAAAACGCTAGATATAATGGTTTTAACAAGTACAGGACAGATCATATCTCCGAAGAAAAAAAGAAAGAAAAAATTCATCGAATACGTTTTAGCTTCTTTCAAGTTTAGAACCCATAAAAAATTTTAAGCGAATCGGAGACATGACATAATTTTTTTTACGAAATGCCTCCGCTTTAAAAAAGAATGGCTAATATGTACTTGAAATGTTCTACCGCTAAGGTGCACTAAATTTAGAGCGTCCAATTGCTCCCAGACTCTGACAAAAAAATACAATATGTACAGGGGACTCCAACCACACTTTATATGTTACTTCTCCCAGCGATTTTCATTTAAGGCGGCTTTTAAACTTCCACACAACTGAAATATGTTTCTGGCTCGACCCTATTAAGCTGGCATTTCAGGGTATTATTTTATATATATATAAGGAAAATTTTAAAGTTAGGGGGGGCGGGCTCGAGCGCCCCTGCCCCTACCTGGCTACGCCCATGAGTACTTGGCATTGATATGAAACTAAAATTGTATTCACACATAGTACATACATATGCACATTAGGGTGGTCCAAAAATGCATGTGAAAAAGTTAAGCCTGAAATTTTATGCTCTCACCCCATAGTATTGTTCTTAACCAAAAAAATATACCTCCATTTTTATATTTTGAAATCAAAAAATATTTAGAGATCGCTCAAAGCGCTCAAAGTGTCCCATGTATTTGATATGGGAAAAAACCACATTTCGTAAAAATGGTATAAAATTCTTGAAAATCAATATTTTTCGATAGGAAAACTCTGTTTCTCTTCAGAAAATTCCCGAACTATTTATTTAACCATTTTTTATAGTAACTGTATTTTATAGGTCCGCCAAAATCCCCCAGAAAATGACAAAAAATGCAAATGGGCGGATAAATAAAAATTCCGTCTTTACTTATTTTGGACCTCCCTAAAGCACATACATGCCTATATGCATATGTACATATAAAGCCATATAAGTTGCTTTTCATACTGAAACGACCGATTTCGTTATCTCATATTTTGCCCTGAGATATAATTTGTATCCCAGAATTCCAGATGTATCGAGACTGGCTCGATTGAGTGAGAACATCAAAATGATCAGTATAATTCTATAGCATTCGGAATAACAGAATGAGGTGCAGGTAATATACATATTTGATAGCACACTAAACCAAATGTCATCCGGGCTTGAGCTAAGAGCTTCGGTAAGAAAATCCATTTTTTGGGAAAAAATGTTAGTTACGCGGTTTTGCAGAACGACGATACGCAGTTTTGTACTTTAAACGACGATAAGTATGTATGTACATATGTATTAGGGATGTTGGCAATGTGGAATTTTAGACATCCGCGGATGCGAATGCGGATGCGGATGTCAAGTATTTCTAAGAAATAATCTAGGTGAATAATAAAAAATGGAAAAGTTAGTAAGTTTTAACTCAACTTTTTCACATTCCCTTTGATTTTTATTTCGCAGCGTGCAAATTTTGACAATTATCACAAAATTAAATTAAATATGGTTTTTGAGCGCACAGATGAGTATTTGCATAGATAAAGCGGTCAAAATTAATTGGTGTGTTTTTCTGCTAAGTAATAAAAAAAAAACACGGAATAAGCCGTTTTATGAAACAAAAAATTAGTACACTTATCCAAGAAAAAGTAGAATAAAAACTAGAGATGCATCCAGTTTTTTCAACAGACCTTTGGCAAATAATATTCGATAGTTCCATAATTCCTACCTAATTAAAGGTTATATTTTAATGCGCATATAGTCGATTCTCTTTATAGCTAGACCTTGAAGGACCCCTCCCCCTGGGACGTAGAGGGACACTTTTAACGTAGCATCTCCACAGGCAAAAAATACTGGCTACAATTTGTCATTTTGTTTACCATATATATGTACGTTTTATATGAGTACACTTGCACAATATTCGCAAAAGCTCCGCACTGATTATTGCGTATGCGAATGTTAAAATTAATTCGGAAGCTCCGTGGTTGCGAATGCGAATGCAAATATTCGCAATAACCCTGCATACATAATCTACGTATCGCTGATTGTTTTAACACAACAGGTGCCTTTTATCCTGGTTTCCATTGCAATGCCAAATTCACGCGCATGCTTTTTACTGAACAGAATGTCCTGTCAATACTTGACAGATATAAAGGATACACAAATTTTCACGAATCATGTAAAAGTGTGCTTAAAAGAAAAAACACGTTCTTAAAATATGTGTTATTAAATTGCATATTATTAGTATTAGTGAGTAAGCAATATTCATGTGAAAGTACCTCATTAAAATGACAATAATTGTTGTTTAATGGAAGAAATAGACACAGTTTCTCAGCGCCACTGATTTTGAAGGAATAGCACCAAACAATTTTTCTTTATAGATTCTTTTTTTTTTTTAGTGGACTAAATAAAAGTGATTTTGCAGAAAAACTTCCGTCAACCGTTAGTTACAAGGTTTTGTAGGTAACATTTAATGTAAATGAAAATGTACATACATACATACATACATACTATGTACAATGTAATATGTGTGTACTTTAAGTTTGTAATGCTCAACATATTGAAAGGTCACATTATGAATGAATTCATACTTGAATCTAAGGCTTACATAAAGTGTGCACATATATATATATATATATGTATGTATATACATATAGTATTATTATACTCAGGTTTAAAGGACTCTAATTGAGACAAAGAGTTACCCTTTTTGTGCCTAAGTATATCTATGTACATGTGCATATGTACATACAGCCAACGTCAAAAATGTTTTGACCATTGTATTTATTTATACATATTTTCCATACCAATTTTTTTTTTCATAAAAATATGTATAGCTCATTCAACTGCAAAACCACAAGAACAATTTTTTTTAAATTTAATACAGAAGTCGGGTAAATGCAAGAAATACCAATTAAATTTTTCAATTAAATTTCTTGAAAATGTTTTGAGCATACAGTTTTGTAGCCCATTAAATTTTAGTACCACAAAGTGCAAGTTTCAAGTCATTAAAAATTATCGTTGATTTTCGAGATTTTTTTTTTGCCGAGGATGTTGCGCGTTTTTTCCATATAACGCATGAACTCAATCTTTTTCTATGTGAGGTAGAAAAGGGCAAATGCATTTCAGAAAAACTCAAATTTAAATTAAAAAGCCAAATGAAATTCAGGAGAACACAACTGTATTAGAGAAAAATATTTTTAGAACATTTTTATCTAGGAAAGGTTTTGCAATGGCAAACCTCCGAGTGTATTTCTTCTTCATTTTCAGCAAGTGGGTTCGGGGGCTTTTAGAAAAATGGATTAGCGTGGGCAACGTTCTTTGCGATTAAGTGTTGGTCTGCGCGTCTAACGCACCAGCCATGCTGGACTTGAGCAAGTACTGGGCAGTAATGGGTCATCCACCCTTTTGCGCCTGACGCCATACTCGCCGATGCTGAACCACATAGAGAATGTTTGGGCTAATGTAAATTATGCTAAAACTAATATGGTCCATGAACGGACCGGGGGTGGTAGAAGGGCGACTGCAGTACATGGATCAAATAATATAGCAAGCGAAAGAAACTACATACCTACAGATGGAAAAAAATCTCTGCAATAAACAAAATTCGGTAATTCCCCGAATTCAGTAAACAGAGGCAATCGTCTCTGCAACAAAAAATGGCTATATGAGCCATTATTTGTTTTAACTCGGACGGATTTTATAAAAAAAAATTATGTCATGCCTCCGATTCGCTTAAAATATATTTTGTGGGTCGTATACATGAAATAAGCTAACAAGTGTTCGAGGAAATGTTTTTTTCTTTTTTTTTTCTTCGGAGATATGAACTGTCAAAGTGTGCATTTTTTTCCTGATTTTAACTAATCAAATAGTTCTTCAAATCGTCTAAGGCTAAAAAATATAAAAACACCATGGTTTTTGATTGGCTACATAACAGGTTATATATAAAAATTAAAGATAATGTTCTGTTTTATTTAAATAAAGTATTCAATTGTATTACTAATTGGTAATTTTTTTTGCTTCAAATATTTTTTATAAGAAAGAAATTCTATAAGAAAGAATTGGTATTTTTTCCTTTTAAGTGTTTTTCTCAAAATTTTTATACGAGTAGTATACAAATATGCATATCAGAAGAAACGGGGTTTCTTCGCCTTTACAACGATATCAGCCTTTTAAAAATCGGTTAGTAATATTTTTGTTTAAAATATTAAAAAAAAAGGTATTTTTTCCTTTAAGTGTGTTTTTTCGCAAATTTTGATATACGAAGTGCATATCAGAAGAAAGGAGATTTAATTGTCTTTACAACGATCCCAATTTTTTAAAAATCGGATGGTAAGTTTTTTGGTTTCAAATATTTTTTTTTATTTAAAAAAAATGTTTTTTTTCATTAAAATGTGTTTTTTTTTCTAAAATTTGTATATACGAAGTATACAAATATGCATATCGAAATAAAGGGGATTTAATAACCTTTACGATGATATACATTTTTTTTTAAATCAGTTTATAATGGTTTGAAATATAAGGAATTTAATTTTTCGAAGACCTGGGGCCTATTTCATAAAGCGACAGTGATAATTTTGTAACGACAGGCATTTTCCATGTTGTCAGTGACAATTCGACAGTTTTTTGGGTGTTATGATTCATAAAAAAATTTATCACCACCTCATAAATTCCATTGAAAAAGTGACAAATTGTCATTGTCGGGGTTTAAAATTGTCGTTGACAAAATTGTCGTCATATGAAATTTATACGAAAATCATATGTAATAATTGCATTTGCATTATTTTAGTTTTAAGAAATATTCAAATTATTGAAAAGTAATAAATTGCGCGCAATTACCTTATAAATAAATTTAAAAACTCTCCTACGAAAGCTTTCGGACGGAGCTATTTGGTTTTGTCGCTATTGTCGCGACAATTTTGTCAGAGTGACAATTGTCAGCACAATTGTGGACAATATTCCATAATATCACTGTCGTTTCCCAAAAATTTTCACAGTTGCCAACAAGCGTATATGAAACATAAAAAATGTCGCCGACAATTCTGGCAGTGAAATTTTATAGAAAAATCGACAGTTATCGCACCAGTCACTTTTATGAAATAGGCCCCTGAACTTTGACCACTTATAGCATCTGTTTGCACAAAAAAAGTTATATACCATTTAAATAAGAGCAAAAGGAGGACTACGCCTATTATTTTAGGTTTTTAGTTATTTATATGCAATAATTAAATATAATTTTTTACCAAAGGCCCTATTTCGAAATTCGAAGGCCCTTATCTCGATTTCGGATGGCAACTTCGAAAAACGGGGAAATAACTTTTTTACCTATGACTCAATCTCTAAAAAAAAAAAAATGGTTTGGTCCAATACCCAGAAAAAAGTTGATGTTGCCGTACAGTGAAATAAATCAAAAAAATCTGCATTGGATTTAAATTATTCATCCATATTTCCATTTCACAAATTTTGTTTTGGGCATGTATTCATCAAATGTTCCTCTTAATGACTTTGTTTACATTTGAAACCAAGAATTTGCAGCCCTCGAATTTCGCTCTTAACTCATTTTGATTTGGAATCCAGATTTATACAAAATTTGTCAAATAGCTCACAAAATATACTTTTGTATAAAAGAAATTGAATACAAATATTACTGCGTTAGATGAAATATTATGTTTAATGAAAATCCTAACTTCGAAGAAATTCGCAATAGTAGAACTTAGCTTTTGCTTTATTTTTTATTTTTTTTTTGATTATTTCGTTTTTGCAGATACCTACGAAATGGCATTGACGAATAGAGCATTGTACGCTTGCGTGTACCTCCTAGGTCTAATATCGTTCTGTAAGGGGAGGACTGCCAAACGTTCGGATGTATATATTGCTGGCTTCTTTCCTTACGGTGATGGAGTTGAAAATTCCGATACAGGTAATTATGAAAATGCTAAGTACACTCTAAAAAATATCGAAGTCTTTTTCGTGATCTAATTTGAAAAAATCTAACTTTAGGAAAATTTTGCCTCATTCAAAGTAATCAATATTCACAAATAGGAATTACATTTTTTATTAATTGATTACTAAAAAATAATTTAATATGATTAGATAGATAGATTAATCGAAAGTATGTATGTATGTACATATCGCTTTGTTATTGGGTAACCTTATATTGAAAAAATTTAAATATCTCTAAAATAAGCAAGTAGAAATGGTATTAAGCCCCTCTTTTATGTTTTGTAAAAAAATCATAACAATAGGGAGGAAATATGTATGCCTTGCAACTTTACTAACCTCCACTTTGTGTTTAGCAATTACACACAATAATTATGTTTTTTTTTCAGGATCTAGAATTTTATTTTTACTTAAAAACCAACACCATTGATTAAAAATACCCATAAAGAGACTAAGTGAGTCAGAAAGACGTATATAATTTTGAAGTTAACGATGGCAATACGCGGTAATACTATGAAATATGAAAAAAAAAAAATATCGGAAAAAATGAGGAAGTAATCAGTTCGTCGGAATATTTTTTTTTTATTTATGATACCGCATAACTTTGAACGACGTTAACCGATTTCGATAATTCTTTTTTTCATTGGAAAGGTGGTCCCGTACTAATTTTGTTTAGATCCGATAATTGGATCGTGAAGAAATTAACGAGACTCTAAAATTTTTATATGAGAATTGAAGTCGGTTTTGTTTTTTGCTTAAAAATTACTTGTTTTATTATTTTTTCATAGCTTACTATCTAAAACCTACCCAAATCGCTAATTAGTTTTTTTTAGGGGAAACCACGCATACATCTTAGAATTCGTAATGATTTTCATAAAAAAAAAAACAAAAATTAATTTATTTAAAATAAAATTTTGTTTTAAAAACCCTACAGTATCAGAAAGACTTATGTAATTTCGAAATTACCGATAGTGGTGCGCGGTAACACTATGAAAAATGAGAAAAATGAATTTTCTTGTAAAATTTACATGATGGATTTTTTTTTTAATTATTTTTTCGTAGCTTAGTATTTAAAGAATACCAAAATTTCTAATTCGTTTTTTAATGGTATGATGGCATGTCTAAAGTCGTTATATAGTATGTTTTTGTTATTCCTATTTTAATGCGGAAATCCCAACTAGAAGCTTGAAGGCCCTTTTCTCCTTTTTTTATTTTTTTCCGTTATGGTGAGACTGCGGATTCTTATGCAGAAAACGGAGCCTATAAATATGTATTACTTAATTATAAACAAATTGTATACAAATTTATCCACTTTGCTTATAGTTATGTGGTACATATTTCTAGGCTCCGTATTTTGCATAAAAATCCCCAGTCTAGTTATGATATTCCAGCAAACAAGCGATATGATACCAGTGTTGGGCGTTAGTCTATCATCTTGTTAACTTCTTAAAAAAGTAATTGAAATTAAATTAATTTAATTGCAAATAAAACTTTAACTGCGTATTGCAATGAAATTAATTTCAATTAAAATTTTAGTTGCAATTACATTTTTAATTGCATACGGAAATTAATTAAATTGCAATTACTTTTTTGATAACATTTAATGTATACGTTTAATGCCTTTTTATCATGCTCTCACACATACATACATAGGTCGTGGAGTAATGCCAAGTGTTAAATTAGCGCTTTCTCATGTGAATGAACACCCTACAATTTTGGTCAATTATCGGCTGCACATGTGGTGGAATGACACTGAGGTGCCTCTAGAGATACTTTTATCAGATGTTTTTATATCAACAAAAATATATTATATTTTGTACCATTTTACAGTGCAATGCAGCAGTTGGGGTCAAGTCCTTCTTCGATATGATGCACTCTGGCCCCAACAAGCTAATGCTCTTCGGTGCCGCGTGTACGCATGTTACCGATCCCATAGCTAAAGCTAGCAAGCATTGGCATCTCACACAACTGTCATACGCCGATACGCATCCCATGTTTACGAAAGACGCTTTTCCGAATTTTTTTCGCGTCGTACCATCGGAGAATGCTTTTAATGCCCCACGTCTGGCTTTGCTAAAGCAGTTTAATTGGACGCGCGTAGGCACATTGTACCAGAATGAACCACGATACTCATTGCCACATAATCACATGGTGGCTGATTTGGATTCCATGCAATTAGAAGTTGTAGAAACTCAAAGCTTCGTCAACGATGTAAACGAACCTCTGAAGAAGTTGCGGGAAAAGGATGTTCGGATTATCCTGGGCAATTTTAATGAACACTATGCCCGCAAAGTGTTTTGTGAAGCTTATAGGTAAAGAGCATGATTCAATCATGAAAGGTTTTGTAAGAAAAACATTCTCTCGCTCTATTTTTTTCAATGACACCCCCACCCTACTCCAAAAACAGAGATATTTCTTTTTCAAATTTCTTTGCAAGTTTTAAGAACATTTTTAAATTTTTAGTAGTGAGATTTTGACTTTTTAAATTTTGAAGAAATGTTTGTTTTCATTCGCTGGCGGCAACAAGACAAAATGAGTGGGAATCGTTGGACTACAGAAATTCAATGTAGGCTAAAGAGACGAAATTCACTTAAAAGCCGAAATGTATTTGTTGATATTCGTGGAGACCTCTTGATTCTATTAAGTCGCTGCAAAGTAAAGCGTGAAATGGTTCTGGTAAATGAGCCAGCGAAGGTATTTAGGTATGGGTGTCTCCGAATGAGATAGAATTGCCAAACCGCATCCACGGGCCCAATCGTCACACGACAGCTCGGTTTCAAGTCAATGGCGCGATGTAATTGCACACTAACGGCACTTCACATTTGACGATGTAGATCACGTTCCCTGTCTCAGTCGTTCAGTAGCTGCGTGTTCTTTTTATTCTTCCTGAGTTCGTCCGTTGAATATTATCCCCAGCACATTAAAGTGACATCAAAGAATTCGAATTACCATATTCGAAGCAATCGAGCCATAATCGCGAAAGAAACGTAAGCTCCGAATTTTTTTAATTGTCGTTTTTTTTTTTTTAAATAAATATTGCATATTTTCCACAAACAAATAGCTTCTTCATATCCATCATCTGGCAAACAAATACAACAAAAAACAAAGCTCGAGTTATGCGCAAGTTTGGTATATATATAGAAATATTTATTTTTAATAACAATCAGGGATTATATTCGATGTAAATAAGCTTGTTTAAATTAAATAATTAAATCAAATTCGTTTTCTTTTTAAAATACGACCATTTACTATTATCCACACCTTTTTATGGAATTTAGCTCCCATTTTGGGAAGTGTGATTGAATTCTTCCCCTTTTTCTTCTGCTTTCATAAACCATCCCTGTGGGTGGGAGTGTCAAATTTTAGAAAACCTTTAAATACACATACATATGTACATAACCAAAGTGTCATATGCTTACCATAAGCTTTATTTCGAAGTTTTTTTTTTACCATTCGCTTCCTCTTCGTTTTTGATTCTTCTCCTCAGATTGGAAATGTATGGTCGTGCTTATCAGTGGCTTATAATGGCGACTTATTCAACAGAGTGGTGGAATGCTACACTTGACACTGAGTGCACTGTAGAAGAGATTTCAACTGCCCTAGAAGGCACCATTCTCGTTGACCTGCTCCCTTTGTCTACTAGTGGTGATATAACCATTGCTGGAATTGTAAGTCTGTCTTAATACTAAAGTGTTAGATGCCCGAACTAATCTAATTTTTTTCCGAAACATAGACTGCAGATGAGTATCTTTCGGAATATGATAGCTTGCGGGGCACAGAATATTCCCGCTTTCATGGTTACACCTACGATGGAATCTGGGCAGCTGCGCTAGCTATTCAATACGTCGCACAGAAGCGCGAAGATTTCCTAACACACTTCGATTACCGTGTGAAGGATTGGGAGCTTGTGTTTTTGGAAGCGCTGAGGAATACCTCGTTCGAAGGGGTCACGGTAAGGACAATAAAATGAATAGCCCGAATTTCCGTAGCCAGCTTGTAAATAAAAGCAATAAAGTAGAATTCTGCGCTAAGCATTTTTAGTACCTTGTCCCTTGCAAAAAATCTTATTGTATTTTTGTCCTTAGGGTCCTGTGCGATTTTATAACAATGAGCGGAAGGCAAATATTCTTATCACCCAATTCCAATTAGGTCAAGCAGAGAAAATCGGTGAATATCATTCGCAATTAAGCCATTTGGATTTGACTCTTGGAAAACCGGTCAGATGGGTAAGCTTGAAGTTAAATTGTTGTCATTACAAAGTCCCCATTTTACCCTACGCACAGTGGTGCGCGGGCGCGCGAATATCAAAAATTGTATTGTCCCAAATATACCGTTATTGGTGTAGTTCGAAAGGCAATTTATCCATTATCAAATTCCCGAATTTTGTATAAACTGAATAATACACAGAAAAAAGACCCTTGAAGTTGACGTACTTTAAACGAAATATTTTAGTCAGAGCCACATTAGTAGGCCCTAGTTTTTTATGCACTAAAAAAATCTAAATTATGCGCATATAATTTGCACTAAAAACTTTAAATATGCTCTAAGAACAAACAAAATATTCAAAAAGACTTCTAGCATTTGTTTTGCTTTTATAATTTTTTACTTTTCATATTTTCGTACAAGTTTATAATTTACACAAGGATATATTGTAATTTTTAGTGCCACAAGAAACTCAAAATTAATTTAATATACATTTATCAAAAATTCATTTACAATAAATTAAAAGTACATATTTATTTTCCAATTTTTTTTATTTGCTTTGTTCAGGGTTTATTGGCAAAGAAGATGAATATGTAGTTCTTTAAAATTTTCAATGTTAAAGCTTCACCTATTTAGCCGCAAAAATGTTTTGCATAAGGAGAACGTTCTTTCTAAATACGTCAACACTGATGATTGGGGCGTACTTGAAGCAAGCCACTTAACATACCAGATATTATTCCCTTAAGTGCAGCTAATGATTTTTTTTCCTTTCAATTAAGTTATTATTTCCGACAAGAAGCTGTACTGTGCATTGATATAGGCTAAACCTGGATTCAATCGAATTTGGAGCTATTGCTTTTTTCTCCTTCAATATTGAAGAAAGGTTTGAAATTCCTTAAAATGTAGGCAATAATATCTTTCCGCCTCTAACCAAGTTCCCCATCTCGATAATATTGGCTGTGGCGGAAGAGCGATATTGGAATACATATTCTTAAAAGTTTCAACGTGCTCTAACAGATTTTAAAAATATTTTTTCCCATTCGATATTAAATCGTCACCATGATAAAAACATAGCAAGGTAGAACCGTTCTCTCAATTTGTCGGCCATGATTTTTTTTTTTGTAGTTTGCCAACATTTTGAAATCATATAAAAGTGAAAATAAAAAATTGAAATTGTTCGAAATTGTTGTTGCTTGAGATTGAAAATGAAAATGTGTGTGTGAGTTTGTGAGTAAATTTAAAAATTAAAATGTTTGGAAACGTCAAGAATTTTAAAAGTGACTCTCAGCGGTTCTACCTTACTATATTTTTATCATGATCGTCACCATCACTGAAGCGAGCTCTTACATCATCGGCCACTCGGTGATCACGTGCCAAACAGTAACTTTGGGAAAAATACCTTCAGCGCCTTTGCTGATTTTACCATATCGAGCCCTAACCGCCAAAAAAACGTAAACGACATATTTTTAAAAAACTTTCTTCTGGTTCAGATGTGCCACTAGAGCATTTAGATGCAATTCTGCATGAAAAAGAAAATTTTGAAAAAAAAAAACGTGGGTTACGTTTTTTTTTGCGGTTAGAGCTCGATATATGGAGCTACGTCAGTGACATATAAAATAATTTGCGACTTTTCGAAATCAGTACCCAATAGTTGGTTGGAATCATCAAATGCTCTTGCAATTGTGGAATGATTCGTTCGTTCTTGACAAACGGCGTTTAATAAAAAATACAATTAAATATGCTTTTTTGACAAAATATGTATGCCTATATATATATTGGTCGAAGCAAAAAATATGTCTGTCATTTTAGCCGCCAAACGTACAAATTCGAACACTGTTACGCATTGAAAAGAGTTAACATGCAATAATGAACTCACGGCATTGTCAAAAATAAGACAATGGCGTTTATGAACTCAATGCATTCCAGTGTTGCTTTGCAAAAAAATTAGCGTAGCGATTATCAGATTCCACTGCTGTTCAATATGCTTTGGCATCCCCTAATATGGTTAAAGAGTTTGAAGTTTCTTTGAATGAATGACCGTCCTAGTCACCAATTCCGAATCTATTAAATTTCTGAGTATGAGGCCTTATGTTGGACAGAAAAGGGGATATAAGGGACTCAAAATGGAGAAAATTAGCCTATGGTTAGAGAAGATATGGAAGAACTGATGAAGACTTGCGTGTCAAATGAACTTTTCTCTCAAAGTTTACTCTGTTGGCAAATGTAAATAAGGATTAATATTTAAAAACTAATTAATACAACTAAAGTAAAATCTGTGGAAAATTACAATAAAATACTCTCTTCGCAAAATCTATAGAGGACGCTTTAATTTCTCAAAAGAAAAAACTGTATAACAGTTATTTGTCGCCACGCCAATAAAAAAGATACACAGCAACATATTGGGTCTGACGCTCACTTCATCAAGACAAAATCGAGTCTATTAATTTTTGATTGGAGCCAAAATAATTGAGTTGTACGTACATTTCTCAGGTTGGTAAAACTCCACCCAAGGACCGGACACTAATCTATATTGAGCACAGCCAGGTGAACATAACAATTTACATAGTTTCGGCCAGTGCATCTGTGATTGGAATCATTGTGGCGTGTGTTTTCTTGGCTTTTAATATAAAGTATCGAAATCAACGGTGCGTATTTGAATGTTTAGACTAAGTTATTTTTTTAATGCTAACTACTATCGCCGCTGTTATCTAACGTTCCTTCTGCAGATACATAAAAATGTCAAGTCCACATCTAAACAATCTTATCATAATTGGCTGCATACTTACCTACATGAGCGTTATATTTTTGGGCTTGGACACAACCTTAAGTAGCGTGGCAGCGTTTCCCTATATATGCACAGCTCGAGCGTGGATACTGATGGCGGGCTTCAGTCTAGCATTTGGGGCGATGTTTTCTAAAACTTGGCGTGTACATTCTATTTTCACTGATCTGAAGCTGAATAAAAAAGTGATCAAGGACTATCAATTGTTTATGGTAGTGGGCATTTTATTATTTATTGATATTGCCATTATAACGACATGGCAAGTGGCCGATCCATTCTACCGTGACACAAAACAATTAGAGCCAAGGGTAAGAAACAATACCGAGCGTATTTGACCATAATTATAGTTTTAACTTCAAAATATTTAGGGACGCAAACGTTTATGATCCTTTTTTTGGAAGAAAAACTTAAGTCTATCTTTTACGGACAAACATAATAGCTTATGTCGGCAAATCTTTTTCTACTGTTATTAGTCCTCACAATTTTCATGATTTTTATTTTCTTCATCAAGAATAACTGTTATTTTTGGATTTTTGTTAACTTTGAAGTTCGATGTGACTAAATATTTCTAAATACTTACATTGTTGTTATTTTAATTTATTTTAATTTTCAAGCATCACGAGGCAATGGACGATGTACTGGTTATACCCGAAAACGAGTACTGCCAATCGCAGCATATGACAATATTTGTTATCATAATATATGCCTATAAGGGTTTGCTATTGGTAAGCGTTAGCCTGATGATATATGAAGTTTTGGAGTTCATTAGCCCCTTATTAAGGCAAACATCTTTTATTTTTATACTTTTAAGGTATTTGGCGCTTTTCTAGCTTGGGAGACACGTCACGTATCAATTCCAGCTCTGAATGATTCGAAACACATTGGGTTTTCGGTTTATAACGTCTTCATCACATGCATTGCCGGCGCCGCCATTTCGTTGGTTCTCTCCGATCGCAAGGATTTAGTTTTTGTCTTACTCTCATTTTTTATAATTTTTTGTACGACAGCAACTTTGTGTTTGGTGTTCGTACCGAAAGTAAGACTGGTAGTAAGGAAGTTTTGTAGTTTTTGTAGCTGTTTTTAAATTTAAAATTTTGTATATTTATGGGCATAAAATAATAATTTGGTTAAGAACCTATATATGGTATATGCTATACACATTTAAATTTATAAAATTTTTAGACATTTAATTATTCCTATATGTCATATTTGAAATCTATGGCTGTATTTACACCGAGGCATACTGTGCCCAGTCTTTCTTGAAAAAGCAATACTACAAAATATGTATCCTTATACATACACTGGCGTTCGTAGTAAGACATTCATATGTACAATGTACATACATATCTGTGGTCACAAGCAATAGTAGCTTAATTATAATAATATACTTACGAAAAAATTTCAATTTTATGTATGAACGTACACACGTACATGCATACACATCGCTACCATAACTAACTAAAATTTTTCATTGCATAAAATGTGTCAATCAAAAGATGAATTTTGGATTTTTAGTTAGTTATCTATCGATTTTTGTATGTCAGTAGCGATGTGAGATAGGGTATTTCTATATTACGGTAACGATATGTATTTAACTATGTAAATACATATACATATGTAAAAAAATTAGACCAGGCCAGTCCCCATGTAAAAGTAAAAAGTTTGTTATTAGCTCCTCTTCTCAGATCCTTTGGTCTTGAAGCAACAATAATCCTAAAAAAAAACACTGGTCGATCATATAATTAACTTACCAGAAAAAGCTTTCCAAATACATAAATTATTTTCTGGAACTGTTCTCCAAAATAAAATTGACATATTGTACATATTTAGAACATAAGAGTAGTCCACTTGCAAAGTGCGCTAAATATGTAAAATTTTTTAGATTTCCAGTTTATGGTGGGTACCAGTTTGTACCAGTATTTAAAGTAGTTTTATGTCCACTAACAACACAATTGCAAAATCTTTCTATATTCTGAAAAAATAGCATCAAATTTCAACTACGCTGGTAAAAGTCGCTAACACACCTTTTTACAAACTTTCAAAGTCTCCATCTTCTGATGAATTTAGAAATCTGCTTTAGGTCTTATGACTATTAAGGTTATGTTATGTTATGTTATATCATATTATGTTATAATGTTATTAGGCTCTTATTTATCAAATACAAAATACAAATAATAATAATACAAAAAAAAAAGATTCATTTAGATGTTACTTGTTGTCGTAGTATTTTTTTTAATTTATGGCTTACTAAGTACTATAAAATCACATAACGTTGTTTGCAAGTGGATTACTCATATGTAGTTTACACCGTACAGAAAAAAAGTTCGCCGTACACCCCTGAGTCTAAAGTATTTTCGCTAGGCAAACTCGAAAGATTTTTATTTTTTTTTTGCCGAACGTAGAGGTTGCCTTTTTACATTTTTCCTTATATGTGTCCCAAGGAGACAATTTATTTCTTTGTTCAAAAGTTCATTAACTTTAAGAACCCCGTTCTCGAACTTACCCACCAGATCTCAGTTCTTATTACTCTATCGTACCACCCTAACGTAAGTAAATTAAGGTTCACCAAAAATCATTAATTATTTGCTAAAGATATAACACAGGATTTTAAGTGTATAGCATATATTTATACAAATACATATGTATGTATAAAAACATATCGTCGGTGATACTGCAAACGTTTATTATTACCTCTTGTGCTTAGATGATCTGCGAGCCTTATCTGAACATTTGTATTTATCGCTGAGCTTCATTGGGCCGGGGTGGAAAGTTTTGTCTTTGCTTTGTGATTGTAGAGAGAATCACAGATGCGTCCATATACAGATAACATTGTCCGACAAAGTTAAACTTTTTTGCACCCATGAAAAAACTGAGCATTTTGGAAAGTAGTGACCCAAATAACTACCCTATTTTGCAGTTACTGTCTCCATGGTGCAAAACAACCCTTGTGATTTTTTATACTTCGTATCCAAGGGTTTTTGCGATTACTGATTATGAATCTGAAGGCAGTTTTTAAAAATTCAAAATGGCAGATCCGAAATGGCGGAAACCGTAAAAGGTTTGATCTAGAAAAACTGCAAAATAAGGGTACCTTTTTGGCACTACTTTCTGAAAATGCTTGATTTTTTTTTTTTATAATTTCAGCACAAGAACTAATAATGTACCACAAACGTTTTACAGTATCACGATATGTACATATGTACATATATATGTATGGATGTATGTGGGCCCAATAATTTGTATGTGTATATGTTGTTTCAAAATCGTTTCGCTGATTAATTACTCTTAATTCTTGCTTAACATTAACTCTATCGCTTTTAGTTAGTTTGTGTTTGGCACTATTATTTGCATAGTTACAACAATTTCAAAACTTTCAATATTGATGGCAATTCACTCCATGTATTTTATTCCAATTAATCTGATTACATTTTCTTTTTTCGTCTGACGTACACAAGTTGGTCGAACTGAAGCGCAATCCACAAGGTGTCGTAGATAAACGCGTACGCGCCACTTTGCGTCCAATGTCGAAGAATCGACGAGATTCTTCCGTTTGTGAATTGGAACAACGTTTGCGTGACGTGAAAAATACGAATTGTCGTTTCCGAAAAATTCTCATGGAGAAAGAGAATGAGCTGCAAGCTCTTATACGCAAGATCGGCCCAGAAGCGCGCAAGTGGATTGATGGCGTCACATGTACGGGTAGTATCGGCGGTGACACTGAACCCATTCTTAACGATACAGCTAGATTGTCGGCACCACCGGTGCGTCGGGAAATGCCCAGCACAACAGGTAATTTTTTTTTCTACTTTTTTACGGAAAACTTACACGGGAACGGGTGCGCTTTAATCTAAGCTGAGGTGAGGTTTAATCTAAAAGTTTCTCCCATTCAACTTCTCTAGGCGTTTCTATGCTTTTATTATGATAAACAGGTCTTTGACAAATAACATTCGATCATTTATGCATTATTAAAGATCCGATTTACGGCATTATAAACCCCTCTTAAAACATATTAAATTAAGATTTTAAATAGTGGTAACAGAATTGTATGAAATTTCCGCGTGTAAAGTTAAGTGTAATTTATTTCAATAAAACTCAACATATTTAAAGTTTGCCAAAAATATTGGTGAGCTTCACATTTTTACAAAGTTTTATTTTTTTTTTTTGAATTAATCCATTCTGTCCAAGTGTTAAAACTTTGAGTGATCTGGTTTTCGGTATAGTATAAACTATATATATTTTTTTAAATATATTACTAATAAATAAAGAAAAAAATGGGTCAAAACTTGTAGAAGCCTAAGTACACTGTGCAACAAAAAACATCGTCCCAAAGGCGTTTTTCTAGGTTAGTTCGAATAAGCGATATAAGTATTTGCAAATTATTCTTTTTTTTATTAATAAAAAGCTTTAGTCCCAATTTGAAAATTTAAAATAAAAATTTAATTGATTTGTACATATCTCACACCCTCTTCAAAAGAGTCACAACTCAAAATAATACGCTCTTCAGAAAATGCGAAAAACTATTTCGTAGCCCATGCGAATCATAAGGGCAAGGACGACTCTACCTTTGGTTTTTCAAGAAGTTATAACAAAAATTTGATCCAGCGTTTGCTGAAAGGTAAATAAAAGCTCTGTGTACATTTTTAGCGTATCTTTTTAAAAATGCCAAATTTTGAGTTGTGACTCTTTTGAAGACGGTGTGCGATATGTACATTGTTTTCGATGTTAACGACACTTTAACAGGTAGTATCACTAGATCGGCTGATTTGATTTTTTTTCAATTCTCGAAAATGTCAAATGTTTAAAATTTTTTCTTACAAAAATTCTAAAGGCCTGTATGCAGCTCTCAAGAAACGCAAAAACTCCATATAAAATGACGTACAAGAAATGACTAAGAAATTTTCTTCAGTCAAATTTCCTTAAGGCAGTATGCAGTTCTTAAGGAATTTACTACACTTTCTACTATGGTTTTCTAAAGTTTTTTGTGAAAAAAAGAGCACAAGGCAACCCAGGTTTGCAACAGAAATATATGCCCGCTCCATTATTTCTTGAGGAAAGAGTGAGGCAACAGGCTAAGAAGTATCAAAAATGTCAAAATTCCTTGGACACACACACGGAATAATGGCAATTTTTCCTTGACCGTTTTCTTGAGAGCTGCATACAGGGCATAAATTGTTAAAATCTATTTGCATGTGAAATCTTTTTCCATACAAACCAAGTGATTGAATAGCAGCTTTTGGAACGTTCGCCCAACTCAGTAGCACAACGCTGATTACTGGGCCTTGCAAAGGATGGATAGAGAAGCAAACAAATTTTTTGTATTTCAGAACAGTTTTTGACATTTTCGATACCAGAAGCAACAATAAAATACACGCAAATGTTGTTTTTGCTCGAATGGTTCTACCTGTTTGATATGCCTTGATGCAAACATACATATGCACACAACAATTAATTCCATAAGTATTTAAAATAACTAAATCCAAAAAATTAATACAGAAGTAACCGAGCTGACATCGGTGGACAGCGTAACTTCTACCCACGTAGAGATGGATAGTTCAATGGTATCCGTACAATCCACCACAATTGCACCATCATTACCACCGTAAGCTTCTGTTAAATACATATACATATGTATATGTACCTATATATGTCGATCTCTTTCTGAACGATTTTTAATATGCTTAGCAAAAAGAAATCTTTAAAACCGCTAACACAAATCCAAGACGGTGGCATGCAACCCACCCCCACCGGACTAGTATCTGGATCGCTAAAACATCAGAAGCCGTCGCACATCCAGTCAATGCAACCGATTCAGCAGCAATTACAGCAACAACTACAACAACAACAGCCACCTTTACAATCTGTAAAGCACGACGATTTATCTTACCGCCGACCAGCTGAGAAACGAAACTCCGTTTCGGCACAGACCGATCCCATTCCTGGGATGAAAAAACAAGAGTGCAATAATATAAAACGAAGTGAAGAGTCACAACTTCGAGAGCGTCGACAATCAGTGGCATCTAGGGTAGGCTATATATATGTACATGCATGCATACATACATATATGTATGTATTAGGAGTTCACTGTAGGGAAAATCTTTTGTTTTGAAATTACCCAAAAAAGGCTGAAACTCGTAAACTTAATATTGGGTCGTAGATTATGGATCTGTATTAGGAATGATAGTCTCGGGATCCAGGCCTTGTTTAGGTCCCAAAAATTACGGCATATTTGACAAATAATCCCGGGATTTTCGGGATTTGTAATTTCCATTGATGGCAATAATAAAAACTTCATTTTCTTGACCAGTATTGGCTATATTTCTTTTTTTATTTAATAATTAATATTTTTTTTTTATAAATGTCTAGCTCATTATATATACAACACCGTGCAATAGTAAATTTTACACACCAAAATAATATATTCGCGAAACCATGGGCCAAATATAGTAAAATGGCGTTTTTAGGTTTTCACTCTGACGTCAGTAATCCAAACATTATTTAAAAAATTCAGTTAAATGTGCTTAAAGAAGAAAAATGGGTAGCAAATTAAATAGGAAAATCTGTAGAATCTAATCAGATTCAATTTATTGGTACATAAGGACCAGTTAGTAATAAAATTTTATCCTTGAAATTTCGCAATATTTGCTTTTGAAAAAATTATATGTTAAGGACTTATATAAACTCGATAACATCCTCGAATTTCGTCCTTCTAACTTTATCAGTTTAAAAAATTGCCTACTCGTCCTTGTGAATCCAAAAAATTGTAATTTTTTTAAATTCTAATGAAATTTCGTCATTCATTTGGTATCCATATTTTTATTCTACATTGCATTGAAGTTTTGAAATAATTTTTGGAATTAATCATATCTATGAAATTACAAAGTCCTTTACAATAAATCATGACGTCAGAGAGAAAATATAGGCTGCGTTTCTTTATACATTCCGAAATAATCCCATTTCACAGCCGGAATAAACAGAATACTTTTGAGATATATGTACGTCAACATATCATCAGGAACGTTCTTAAGAATAAATAAACAAAAAAGTCTATTCCAAACGTTCAGAATGAATAAAGAAATTCAGTCATAAAAAAGCTTCTTCTTCTTCTTTTTTGGCGCTGTAACCGCCTAAGCAATTTTGGCCGAGTTCAGCAAAGCACGCCAGTCGTTTCTCCTCTGTGCCAACTGACGCCAATTGGAAACGCCAAGTGAATCCAAGTCCTTCTCCACCTGATCTTTCCATCGCAGTGGGGGCCTCCCTCTGCCTCTGCTACCACCAGCGGGTTCCGAGTTGAATACTTTCAGAGCTGGAACGTCGGTGTCCATTCGAACGACATGACCAAGCCAGCGGAGCCGCTGTGTTTTAATTCGCTGCACTATGTCCATATCGTTGTAAAGTTCATACAGCTCATCGTTCCATCGTCTGCGGTACTCGCCGTCGATGTTACTCGCCTCATCAGATGTTGTCATTGTCCATGCTTCTGCGTCATATACCAGCACGGGCATGATGAGTGACTTATAGAGCGTGGTTTTCGTACGTCCTGAGAGGACTTTGCTCCTGAATTGCCCACTCAGTCCAAAGTAGCACTTGTTGGCAAGAGTGATTCTACGTTGGATTTCAATGCTGACATTATTATCGGTGTTAATGCTGGTTCCCAAGTAAACGAAATTCTCTACTTTCTCGAAATTGTAACTGTCAACAGTGACGTGGGTGCCAAGGCCTGAATGTGCTGACTGTTTGTTTGATGACAGGAGATACTTCGTCTTGTCCTCATTTACCACCAGACCCATTCGCTTTGCTTCCCTATCCAATTTGGAAAAGGCAGAACAGACTTCGCGGTTTTTGTTTCGATTGTGATAACCACATCTCGGAATCGTATACCGTTTTTCCAGATCAGGTAATTTCCCCAAGGTATTTTATGATAAAAATTCAAACTTTAACAAGGAAAAAAAAAAAAATAAAACAATAAATATCCATTGTAATTGTTTTTCATTTGTATTAAAGCCTGTTCTGTTGCAAAAAAGAAATCAATGTGAATGGTCAACTGAAAATGTGCAATATTTTTTTATAAAATAGGAGTAGGAAATAATGTTACTCATACGCCATATCGTACATGGCCGTACTCGTCATACTCGTGCATAGCGTATGAGTAATATGTTCCATGTTAAAGTTAGAATTTGTTATTCATTCAAACTTAAAATTACAATGTCTTGATGACAATTAATTGATCTGGAAAAGCGTTATACATATCCGTAATCTACGATCCATAATTAAGTTTACGAGTCCCAGCGTCTATTGTGTTATTTATATTATGTTTTTGACAAAATTTTCATTAAATTTGCACTTTTATCAAAAATTTCACTCTTCAAAAAAACAGCACTACGACAGCGGAAGTCAGACTCCAACCGCCAATCCAAAGTATTCCCACAATCATAGGAATTCAGCAACAAATATTTCAAATTCAAACACAGACTTAAATGGCACTTGTCCACACGGTCCGCATTCGAAGAGTAATAACGTCATTAAAAGTAAGTACTTGTATCGGTATTTTACAAAATTCATAATGTCTCGAAATCATTCGTGTTCATTTGCAGCACCAACGGCATTAGAAAACCGTCGCGGTACCAATGCGCTGAAATCCAACTTTGTAGTCTCTCAAAGCGACTTATGGGATACACATACGTTATCGCATGCCAAGCAGCATTCCCGCCAGTCACCACGCAACTATGCCAGTCCACAGCGTTGTTCGGAGCATAGCCATATCATTCCCTATGACCAGACCACATCCCCCATACAGCGTTCGGTTTCGGAAAAGAATCGCAATAAACATCGTCATAAGCCACAAAAGGGCACCGTATGCCAAAGTGAGACAGACAGTGAGCGGGAACGAGAACCAACGCCGCCAACAACGCAGTGCATCCAACAGCGTAAACTCAACAAGACAAACATACAGCACGCTGCGCATCATCACTCCTCCCCAAATGTGGCGCCCGAAAAGCAACGCAAGCATCGAAATAAGCCCGAGTCGTCAATTTATGGTGCCAGTTCCGAAACGGAATTGTTAGATGGAGAAACGGCAATATTGCCCATATTCCGAAAGCTACTCACCGAAAAAAGTCCCAACTATCGGGGTCGCAGTGTTGTAGGTCAGAGCTGTCCGAACATTTCCATTAAATGCGATATTGTAGAATACCTTTAAAGCAGCATAGAGAAATAATGGCACTGAACTATCAATAAATGTACATACAGGCATATGTATGATCTGTTCAAGTTGGCTTAAATATAATTTGACTCGACTTAAACCAGAGCAAAAAATGCTTGACTAAAATGCAGCAAAGTAGAAACTTTTGGAAACAACCTACTTAATTTAACTCACGTATGCAATATTACTAAATAATAAAACAGTTCATTATTAAATTCATTAAATTAAATTCATTAAATTGCATTTAAGACTATTCTTTTGTATCTTGCAAATTTGACACTGATTTCTTTATTTGAGACTTCCTCGGATCGTATGTAGATTAATCAGGGTCGTCAAAAACGATTTGATCTATGAACCAAATTTGTCTACATGATTTAAGAAAACTTATGAGTCATAAGTTATGACCCACTTTTGATCAAAATCAGAGTACCACAACCCGCGCCAGATATTGCTTAAAAACTACGAATCGTTATTTTATGGAATAGAGAGTTAAAATAGCTTTGTTTACTATTGCTGGCAGAAATGTTCCAGTGTGAAACCGTCTTATGGGATTGATCTCCATACCAAGTTCCAGGACTCTACCACAAAAACTTCCAGAGATATGCGGTATCAAAAATTCGATTTATACGGGAGATGCCACGCTCCCTTGATATATCGAAATTATTATCAGCCTATAACCAAAACGTGTTCAAAATTTCAAAAAAAAAATCGGTGAAGCCGTTTGCCAGACCACGTTTTATAAAAATATGGGACCTTTCTTTATATAATTGGTATAGATAATAAGTAGACATCGGAATTCTATGAAAGTGCTTATTTTTGTTTAGCGTCCAAGAGATCCCGGACTAAGACAGAAGTTCGTTGCATTGAAAATTAAGAAGATTTACGCATATGCATATTTGCATATTTTTTGCATTTCTGCATATTTCCATATTTTTCGTAAGTATATTTTTAGTATTGTTTTGAATATATTTTGCATATATGCTTCTGTTTATTTATGTAGTTACATTGTATCGGTTTTATTTAGCTTGTACTGTTAGTTTTTGGGTCAAATCTAGTAATTGGGATTTCATCCCTTTCCTGTTGATCTATTAATCTCAAATTTGGTAAACTCCTTTAGTTCTGATGACAATACAATCACGTAAATATATTCAGTATCGGTGTTGGTTGATTTTTCCGACAGGGTGGTTAGATGATTTATTTTGG